AACTGGTTAGTTTTCCAGGGTGATTTGTCATGATCTTGAAGCTGATGTTCCAAATAATCTTTGAAATATTACAAGGCAATAGAGGGGACAATACCAGTCAATATATTTTGCTTCCTTAAGAGAGGATGGCACTTTTTCTCCTAACAGCTATGTAAAGACCAAAACAAATAACCCATCTGGTGCCATGGGAGAAATTGCACATCACATGGTAACCCTGCCTAAGTGCATCTACCATTCTGTCGACTGAACCATGGCATAGAGTGCTTTGCATTTTTTTTCTAATGCGTCTGAAGGTGTATGAATGAGAAAATATCCTAATACTGCCTTCCATATATTCTCTGCCATAACCACTCTTCCTGTGTAGTGCTGAGGTAAAACCACTTTTATATTCCTGGAAAATGACCTGAAAGTCAGGTGTAGTGACTTGAAAGAAATGGGGGCATCAATGTTTCCCATTATTTATAGAAGATCTCCTATCAGCTCTGGTGTGGGTTTGTAGCAAGACCAGGGTATGGAAGTGTCCTGCCAAATGCATTCACTGTGCCAGGCAGAGAAACTGAGCAATTGAACATGTGCAGTTAGTCTGTGCGTGGTGCTGTAGGTACAAATCTGAAAACTTAAACTTGTTTTAGTATGAAAATTATCAGAAATAATACAATAGGCTTGCTTATTATTCTGTATTTTGATATTTTAAAGATGTTTTTCCTGCACAGTTAAGAGAAAGCTTTAAAGAAAAGGTTCTTCAATCAATGAAACTATCATTACATAAGCATCTACTTTAATAGATTAGGCAATACTTACAATGAAAGAAAATTCCTGGGAAAAATAGTTTGATGTTTTTCGCACTAAAACTGGTTTTGATTTTAAACATAAATTATTCATTAACAACAGGCTGATCAGCACTCATCTCAAAGATGTCTCATCCTTAATCTACTGAAAATTACAATAAGATTCATTTTTTTCAGTAGGATGAGAATCTGTTTCAAGAGGAGCTTTTAATACTTTGAAAGCCCACTATTCAAAGCACATTTTTAGTTCTGTGAAGGCAAAATCATGTGGACTTAGTTTTCAAATATCAGATATGCTGCTTGCATTCATAGGTGGATTAAAAAGTTAAAATCCAAATATCGCGCTTATTAAAAAGAATGTTGAAGTTAGGAAAAAAAAAAAAAGCTAGTGAATATAAAATACAACTTGTCAAACAGTGTTTTTATTGGAGTAGATCTCTTATTACTATTGTTTCAAATGACATTGTGTTTCTGAAAGAAAATACTGCTGTATTTTGCAGCCTAATTACATATGATGTTAGCAGGATTCCCTTAGTGAGCTTTAATGGAACAGTACCTTTCTCTTAGCTTTGAGCTGCTCATGGTATTTGTCAGATGTGTCGCCTGGGATTTCTCCTCCCCAGAGCGTAATTCCCACTATGCTGTACGTGATGCCCATGACAAGCAGTGGAAAGCAGTAGACCAGTATGATCACAATGACATGATACCTGTAATGAAAAAGCATTAAGCTATTAAGTGCTTTTGAAGGAGCTGCTCAAAAGGAACGTGCTATTAGAAGTCAGTAGTGCTGCTGTAACACAAAGTATCTTCTATATTCATTTGTTAGTCCGTGAATGGGTAACTGGGGTTGCCTTTGCCTGGAACTGTGCCCAACTCAACAAGCTGTCCAGCTGGCTTACTGCTTTCACTGCCTTCTTGGAAAAGTCTCTCAGGGAACTGCAATTTTTTTATATTGAAATGCAAGCACTTATGGGCTTTCTAGTTTTGATTCTGAACTTGTACTGGCATAACTTAAGAATAACTCCATCAAAATCGGTTAGCTGCAGAATAAGTGCATAACTAGCTGAATCCCTTGGAGTGCTACACAGCCAAGTATGTTAGGGGCAAGCTGGGATTTGAACTTTAGTCTAGACCATAAATTAAATAGGAAAAACAATAATAGTGTATTTTTACAAAAGCACTGATGAGCATCATGTGTTACTTAATGTAAAATATGCTTTCTCATATAGCAAGTCCCTTGTCTATCTCCATTCCTCTCTGCTGAAGTTTTTGGGGAAAAAAAAGCTACTGATTTTCTTTCTGCTAGTTGCTGGTTAAATGGCAACTTCAGATGATATTCCAGTGAACAGTCAGGGAAGAATCCCCCAACCCTCATTAAGAATGATTTGACTGCCCTCAAAAGAAATATGGATGGCTCCTATGTGGTTGTCCAATTTTTCAGCCTTGAATACAGAACTCATCTTTAATGCCAACAAAGACATGAAAGGGCAAGTAATTAATTCTATGGCTAAGTAACCACTTGTCCTTTTTCTGCCCGAGGGACAAGCAGGGTATATTCAGTTTAATTGATAGCTATTCTGCACTTCCAGGAAGTGGAACTGGGTCAAAGAGAAAGGGGAAATGCTTGTTTTTTTAGTTAGGATGATCTGAAAGTTTGCCTTAGACTCCATGTTCTGTCCCCCTTTCTGAACACGTGTGCTTTGTATGCAAGTAACTGTCTTAACTGAGGCCATGGTGGTAAACATGCAGCATGGGGCAGAAAACATACATAGAAGTTGAAAAGAATGAAAAGTCAAGTTCCACTTATCATTTAAATGCACTGTCTTCCTAGTCTAGCTAGTCTGCTCTACGTTTCTGAAGAGTCAAGTTTTTGCGTGATACTCTACAGCTTTTGCCAAGAACATCGCAAATGTAGACATCGTCATGCACAAGTTTAAAAGAACAAAAGCTTACGTAAAATGGTGTTTTGGACCACCTGGCCATGCTACATAGCAAAGAGTTCTCCCAGGCATCACCTTGGTTATGGAGTAGAGGCACTGGGGAAAGGCCAGCAGGATAGCCAAAATCCATATGCTTCCAATGACCACCTTAGTAGCAGTTGCAGAGAGCCTGGGCTTCAGGGGATCAGTGATGGCCATGTACCTGTAAAGGAAAACACAAACCTATGCAAGATAAACCTTCAGTGATAAGCCTATATCTATAGGCAACCAAAAGGGTCGAGTGAGGGATATAGACAGATTTCTCATCCTGTAGCTCGTTGATTCAGTTGTGCTCTTTGTTTAGCTCCTGTGAAGGAAGTAGTGGAAGAGGAGAGGCTCACTGCATATTATCTTAAAGTTATAGGACACCTGGTTAACTGCGGAATATCAGTGTCACAACTCTTTCTCAAGAAGCTACTTAATCTGGTCACAGAAGAATCTGATTCAAAAGTAACAACATAGCTGCATCTTCATTTGCTCTGCTATATAATACAGAGTTTGTCCCTAATGAGAAAAATAACAGCCATTCTGTTAGGATTATTAGTCATCTCTGCAACAGCTACAGAAGCCTGAAAAGCACTCATGCCTTTTGGGAAGTAGACATAGGCTGACTTCAGACTGCTGCTGGTGTGTACACAGAGATGAGCCTTCCCTCTGGTTATGTAGGAGGCTTTAGAGCGCCAAGAGAAATAGATACACAAAGCTTGAAAGCATTTCATGTGCTCTCTGTTTGTAGGTAGGATAGCATTGTTTTTAATTCACCTTAACTGTCTTGGTGAACTGTGTATTTTGAACGTGCAAAAAAGGAGACAGTAAAAAGGTTACTCTCAGTCATTACAATTGTAAAAGTGTGATAAAAAGAGCAATAGGAGGCACCAAGGGAGGCAGTAAAAGAAAAGCAAGTCCTGTTTTTCGTTTTTTCATCCCTGTGTATATTACAAATACTAAATTAACACATTTTTCACTAACTTTCCTGTTCATTCCATTTTGTTGTATTGATCAAGGATCAAATCTTACTCTCACTGTGGTGGCTTGATTTCAAGATTGGACTTCTAATGCTTTCTCACTCCAGGGGAACTCCTAATAATACCCCAGATGCATTTTTTTTTTCCCCACAAAGTGAAGATTCTTATCTAACGTGTATGAACTTGAAAGGATTAACTCATTATGCTTATATATCACAGCAAGGAAGAACTATTATTACCCTATCTAATATAAACACTAGCCCTTGGGAGATAATTATAAGATGGAGTATGCATTTTTAGAAATTCAGGCATGTAAATATGTGCGTTTAGAGATTCAAGTTAAGCCAACACCTGCAAGAATGTGAATTATTTGATTCAGTGTTTGCACGTTGTTCTGAACGTGTGTGTTTTTCTGTAAAGAATTTAAAGATAGCACTTCAGTTTCATCACCAGAATCACTGATGTAATTTTGTTTGCTGTTACCAGGTTGCATCTGACTGACCTCTTGTATTCTGCTTTGGCTTATCTTAAAATTTGTCCCCTGCTAACTGCTGCTCAAGTCAGTGAGTCTTTCCATTGCACTTGATGAGTGTTCACTTCGACTGCAAGACAGAGTGGCTGGTGTAGCATGGTGTGCTCATTTGAATAACACTGATAAACACTTTAAGCAGGTGCTTTAACAGTGGAATAATTATACAGCGATTGCTTGCATTGATTTCTTGTACTCTGTTTGTTACAGCTTACAAGTAACTTAAGAGACTAATAGCTGGTAAGTAATACAAAGACTTCCTAAGTTTGTGTGTTATGGTCCTGAAAAATGTTCTTGGAGACACAGGATCAAGCTATGAATCTCACTTGTAAGCATTGGTTTATGATGCTGAGATCATAGGTTCTTAATATATTCTCACCTGTAAAAAAAAAAAAAAAAAGCAGGAGAGAAAAGAAAAAAATTACCTTCCTATTTCAAATGTATAGGCTTAAGTCATCTTAGCACATATTCTAAAAATGTGAAAGAACTAGTAAATACCAGTTGCCTATCTTATGTACCTCAAAATTTCATGAAATGGGAAATGTGCCTAAAATAGGCTAGACCATGTTTTCTGGGGATTTCAGCTTGGTCCATTTAAAGCTAAGAGTGTGTTCAGAGACTGGAAAGAAAAAAGTAAAGATAAGTTCCAATTTATCTTTTGTAAAACGTAATTCGGCTAATAGAGACATGAAATTCATGTCTTTAATACATGTGTAGGATGTTCTTAAAACAATGCCTCACTCAAAATTGAATCGTACCAATACCCATCTGGAGACACAGTTGGGAACACAGTTGGAGCCCCTTAATCATCTCGAGTGTTTTGTTTCACCTGATGACAGGGTGTTTATGAATTCAAATGGGGGGATGGAGTGGGGAGAATCAATTCATCCCCAAACTGTAAAAGGAAGTTGGTGCTTGACAGAGGAAGAGACTGAGGGAAAATTGTAATGGTTGCATATAAGAGGCTCGTCAACAGCAGAAGCAAGAGTGTACTTCATTTCTGACTACACAGATGCTGTTGTTTCTTCAAAACAGAAGCTGGGTTTGATGCATTGTTTCCTACAGTTGCATTTGGAATAAGCTGATAATTAAGAAACTTGGATGAGGAAAATGCTCTGATTCCCTGCACCTGATTTAAAGCTTTAGTTATAGAAAGTCTTTATAAAGTGTCTCAGTAACATAGATACAGTAGATGAAAAGAGATGGAATGAACTGTGCTATTTTAGAGGGATTTTTTAATTGAGGAAAACCAAGTATTTTAATTTCTGTGCTGTATTCATTCATTGATTCTGTCTGCAGAAGTGTGACTATGGACATATGGTAGGATTCACTCTGACGGATTTGTGGCTGGAAGGATCTGCAGTGAGTGAGGTCGTGATTATGCAGTGGTCGTTTTAAAGCATAAATGGACATATAGCCATATGATAGGTGAATGCAAACAAGCATATTGTGTATTGTGTGTTGTATCCTAAAAGTGTTAATTGAACTTGATTCACTCAGGGGCACATGTGCTGCTCTTGGGGATTGGCAGATCTGCCTTGAGCACTGCAACTTTTTTTTTTCTCCTTTCTTTTAGATCAAGACTAAACTATGCATGTGTCCATGGCCTTGCTTTTGGGTACCTATTACTAGAAATGGAACAGGGAACCTGGGATTTCTCAGTATGGCAGAGTTCTCATAGCAGTGCCGTCTCTTGAGCAACTTGTTGGTAATGAGCTAGATGTTAATAAACCTTTAACTGATTTGCAGTAGTATATGCCATAACTGCAAATAGGCACAGAAATGGGATGTCTGATTACCTCATGCTTATCTGACTTCCCTTGGCAGAAGGTCTCTCTTTATGTGAGTTTATAATTGGGAAGTTTTTGCTTTGGTGTCTAAAATTGATTTAGAGACTAAAATTTTGATACCTCATTTTAAAGCTTTTGGCTCAGTCTGTTAGAACAGTTAAGATAAGCGTAATACAAAATATCCAGTCTGAATAAGCCAGATGTGGAGTGCACTTAAATTGTTGTCCTGCTTGTAGAATGGTGGGCTGCATTTATTTGGAAATTAACTTTATTTCTGGTAAACACAAATCTCGTAGAGAGTACAAATTTGGCTGTTAGCTAATGGATCAGACATATAGACAATAATATTCAAGAACAAAAAGAAACAAGTATCCTAAACTGTATCTCTGATAAAATACTGCAGGTTGCATTACATAGTAAACAACTAATTTATCTTTTAATAGTATTCGTTAAGCTAAAAATGAAGGTACTGAGGAAATGTATTTAAGGCTAGCTAAGACACTATATAAAGTGAACTTAACTTCTGAACATGTAACTTGAACTTGTCAAATGTTGTTTCCTGCCTTAGACAGAAAGACTTGGGTGTTGGCATAGACAGAAAGACTTGGGGGTTGGCATTGTTGTAAATTTTGCTTATGCTCCTGGGGAACTTGGCCGAGTAGCCTCATTTTCTTCACTGCGTCTTTTGTAAGCAGCTTGTTAAATAGAAGATTTTTTTAGTGCAAAACAAAAGGAAAGAATTATTTGTTATGCCATTTATTCCCAAACTGAGCCTGGTATCAGCAACGTAACTCTGACATGAATTCTGACAGATGCAATTCTGTCTCTGACGGCTCATTCTAAGTTTATGCCACAGCAAGAATCGGATTCCTTCTAGCAGATGGAACCTTTTAGCCATTGGATCAAAATGATCTCCATCCAAATGCTGTTTCACTTATCTCTCTCTCTCTTTTCTTTCTTGCTCTCCTTCTTAGATTGAAAGAGAATTGGCAGCCCATGAAAATCATGTCAGGCCCTCAGGTCATATGGTTGACTTACAAATGACATTTCAAGATAGAATTCTTCACATCTTGCATTTTGATTCTTTTTGATCCCTTGAGGCCCTCCTGTTGAACTTTCTCTCCAAATTGTGAAGACTAACATTTTTGTAGAGGGAAACCTGCATACTTGAATCCAGAAATATCATGTGGTTCGTGTTAAAATATAACCATTGAACACAGGAGTAGGATGAAGACATTTCTCATTTGAATTCTATGTTGCTTGACAAAATAGTAGTATTTTAAAGTGTATATTTTTGACCATGTTTTTTTCTTCCTGATCTTTAATGACCAAAGTTGATACAATATTATTAAATAATCCACTAGAGGGGAAAAGAGCTGTATTGAACGTTAGTTTTGGGGTATGACAGGGTTTTTTTGTGTACAGTTACATGACAGAGAGGCAAATAAAACTAAAAATAAAGCACTCTATATCTAAGCCTGCTAAGCATTTTTGAAGCGCTTGTTTCCCCTACACCTTGCCCTGTACTTTTTGAGCACACAGAATAGATAGCATGCAGGCTGTTAACTCCCAATTCAGATAATGTTATTCTACAGCAAAGGTGCTGGTAGATTTAGCAGTATTATTGGTTTTGAAATGTTTATGGCACCTGAAGGCCTTGAGCCATTTGTCCCAGGAATAGAAACTCATGCAGAGGCAGATGCCAAAATGCATCCTGCTGGAAAGAGGACACATTTTACTATGTGCAAACTGCTTTCTTCAGAATTTGAGTAGCAGATTCCTTTTAAGAGCTTGTGGCACTGCATTGTGATAATAACCAGTCTGACAGCATATGCTTAAAGAGTTTGAAGAGCCTAAATCATCATTTGAGTATCTGAACATGTACACATGACAAATTTAGGTTTCATTTGATAAACTGGATCATGTGTTTATGCCATGGGAGTATGTTCTTTTACAGCTTGTATTTTACTACTTAAATTTAAGTATAAGGAATAGAAGAGTCCCTAACAACCATCAGTAAATGAATAATGATTGTGAAAAATGGAAAACTAACCGATGTTTATGTGAACTTCTGTATACATACTAGAAGTCTCAAAAATAAGGTGGGAAGCTAACACTACAAGTTTTAGCTATGGATATTTGTGTAATAAACATACCAGAAACTGTTGGAGGAGTGCAACCAGTGGGACAGTGTTAAGTTTCCTATGAAAGTGAGAGTAAATCATGCCAGAGGAATAATAAAACTGAATGTTAAAGATAGCTTAAAATCAAGTCAGATAAAACAAAAGTTTGACAGACAACACAGAATTTTATGGTTTGAAATTGCAGACATGACGAGGAAAAAATAACCTTTAGAATTATATATCTAACTGTGTGGCAACCATAATGGTGAACTGCCAAGAGAAATGAGAAAAGCTGTGAGGGCGCATGGTGCAATGCTAATAGAAAATATCAGTGACTTTTTATCACCAAGCATAAAAAGCATAAATGCATAACATCCATTTCAGGCAATATTAACTGCTTCATGGAGCAGTTACTGTAAGGAGTAGCCCCCAAGCAGAGAAGCAGCTCTTGAGTTAATCTTAAACAGTGTTCAGGGTCTGACGTAAATGACATTGTTCTGAGAATAATGATTAGAGTGCAGTTGAGTTTAATATCTCTGTAGAAATAATAAAAGACACATTTTTTAAAAGGAACTTGTATAGTAGTATCTAATTTAAAAAAGGGATGTAGATAAGTAAATTTGTTAAAAAGAAGAGAGATCGGCAGCTCAAAAGAAGCTGAGACATGGTGACTGTACTGTTATGACTCAATCTTATTCTGTGACATGAAAAGTTTATATTTGTCTAGTATTATGTTAGAGAAGATTGAATTGATTTTAATTCGTGCTCAACAGAGTGAGTTCAAGGGTGCTGGGAAAAAGAAGGTAGGACCCACAGATCTTGAGTTTTCTTTCTGAATCTTCTGCAGATTTTTTGTTTCTTTGACTTCATTGCAAACTTTCAAAAAAAAAAAATCCATCAAGCTTGTATGTTTTGAACATTCATCACCAACCTGAGGCTATGCCATCATATTTGAAAAAACGGTCTGGGATAACAGAAATGAGAGTGCTAATATACCTGCCTCTTAGCTCTAATATTAATAGTCTTATTGCTCTTGAAAATACAGTTGCAGACCAAGTTCTGCGGAATAAACACATTATCGGAAGCTTTATAATGACTCTGTTGAACTGAGAATTTAACAGTTCTGCACCTTTCTTTGAGGTGAGGACAAATGGCATTTCCTTTTACTAGAAGGACCAGAAAAAAAATGAAGTTATTGACATTGTATTGGGACTTTGGGGCATGATCATATCTTAATTTAGAAAAAGTGACTTTAATAGTCTTCTGGTTTGTAGTTGATTGTGTTGGCATATTATTTAAGGCTCACTGATGCAACAAATTGTAACACTTCAGAGTTTGCATCAACATAATCAGGTTTCTCAGATATATGAGGAAAATTCCCTGAATAAATGAAAGTAGTATGTAACAATTGGAATCCCTTTAACACCGGATTTATTTTCTCATTCTTACATTTCAGTAGTTTTGACTCTGCAAGTAGCTGAAGCGAAAAATAGGCTGGGATTGTTGTGGAGTAGAGGGCTAGGGATAGGTGGCCGAATCTGATCTGTAAAAATGGTTGTCAATTTTGTATTTTTAAGAGTGTGTCCCTGTAAAGAGCTTGATGAAGCATAGTGAGTACTGGAAGCAGCGTAACTGAGCAGAAGCTGCAGAAGGTGAGCAAGTGCCCCTGAAGCAGAGGGAGCAGTGCTAACCCTGTGCTGCTTCTAGCGCTTGAGTTGGCCTTGTCACAGCCAGCACGTGCCATCTCTGCAGCACACTGTGGAGTAGGCAACTTGCATCTTCCAAGCAGCCTGCTGGAAGAGAAGCAGAAGGCAGGAGAAAAAGACTTCTGAGAAAAGGTGGTTGGAAATGTGAATAATCCCCCATAAATTTGAGATGGTGTTCAGTGGCCAGGTAGACACTAAGTAGGGCAGTAATCTTGGATACTTGGATGTTCAGCTCTAGACCTAGCACCTTCCACTGCCAGAAGTGGTCTGCTCTGAGGAACAGAAGCCCGTGGTGCTCACAGCGTGTACATTGTGGCCTCTAGAAACCTGTGCACAGTTGGACATGAAAAGAACTTGTGCTGCCCCTGACTCTGCTCAGTGAGGACTGGGTCACAGTGACTCATTCAGACTTGGCACATGTCGGTATGGTCTAAAAATGACCAGCAGAGCATCCTCTGACACATTTTTAGTGAGTTGCAACCCATGACCTTTTAGTATTTGAATTGTAACAGTTTCTATGGCAAAGCCATCTTATTTGATCCTGTCTCAATAGCTTAGTCCTAGTTTGCAGCATTGGGCCTTTTTTAGTTATGAACATGAACATGTAAGGTTGACCTTAAGAAGTGGTTAAAGATACAGAACACATCTAGTCTGATATTATATATAAAAATAAAAGGAATGGCAATCTGAATCAGGAAACATTGACGGAATGTTCTTCTGTTTATTTTAAATTATGCTTGTTAGTATTGCAGAGAAGCCACTTACAAGTTGCTTTTGGCATTTTTCACTGTGCTCCCTCCAGGAAAGATTTTGTGGTCTTTGTCTGGGGGCAGGTGTAGCAAGTGTGGTGGGATGCAATTCCTTCAGGAGATTTTGAGGTGAGAATTATCACGAGTGGGAGTAACAGCAGTAATTGATTCACTACCAAACACCAGGGTTTCTTATTGTCAAACCAAGGATAATATTTCAAGTACATTTATATATGACCATAGCAGTTGAAGCAGTTGGTGTGGAACAGAGCTGTTTAGCTCTAGAAATGCATCCTTCTCCTTCTCAGGAAATGGTATAATATAAAACAACTTTGCCTTTGTTTCCAGTTTCCTAGAATGTTTAGAAACTTTCCAGGTAGTACACACTAATCTCTGTGGGTGATTTTGTCAGAAAAATCAAAACCTCACTCAGAACATCATAGCAACCGACTGGCTAATGGCAAGGACCACTGCAACAATAGCAGCTACATCCTCAGCATCTGCTAAAAACCTTTTTTCTTTCTGAAAATGTCAAACTAGGCAAGAATCTTGAGCTAAACCAGACTTTGCACCTGAAGAAATTTTTGCCTGGTTTAAGATATGGCTTTGCACTGCCTCCTCATTTATTTATGTGAATGAACATCAGCGGCAGAAGAGGGCTTGATTCTCATCCTGTCCTCGGCTATCCCAGGAGCAGCAATGTAGAAGAGCTGTTAAGAATTTCATTTCCTCTTTCATTTCTAGCTTTACAGCAGAGAAATTCATCTGGCTGAGATGTCACCTAGAATGTCAAAATAATATTAGCAACTAGTAGCGCTAAGAGAAGAGCATTTTTATGACTATGTCCGCAGCACAGAGAAAGGCATAACAGCATATTTCCCAACCTTTGCACCTGGAAACAAGATATTTATGAAGTTTCAGGAAATGAATCGAATCTCATAAAAGTTCTGACTACCACTGCCTGAAAGTGCTGCAGCACTGCCAAGTCATTTCAGGCAAGATATATAACATGATTTTAACATCTAGAAAGGAGTTTTGTGGGTGATTTAAGTGCATTTCTAAAAAGCAAAAAGACTTGAATATAAAGCAGTCTTATTCTGAATGAAATTCAGGAATTGCTCGGATATCTGAAGCATGTGGGAAATCCATTTTAGTACAGCATGCATGAAAATAATGATAAAGAAGGAAAATTTCCTAGGGGAGAGCCACAGCAACTTCTGACAAAGATGGTCATCAAAGCGTCTCTGTTGGAAGCCTGACAGCAGTGTCTGTCCCTTGCTCTATGGAGGCTGGAGCTGTCCTGGTCCATTATTGTCAGCAGCACAACGGTAAAGCTTGCCCCTGCTTTGTTTTCTTTCAGTCACAAAGACTGTTTTCTGACAGTAATTAGAAAAAATAAACAGTACGAAACGTTATAATGCCTGTTCTTACCACACCTCTGTGTGTGCACAGATGGTAATGTAAATAGTCCCCTTAGTTAAAGTCAGGAGAAACAAAGCAGCTCAGAACTGTCTATAGGAAGAGCCATTAAAAACAGTTTGAAGTGGTTTCTGAGAAGGAGAAAAATGCTTTTGCCAGCTGCCAAAGCACAGAGGAGGGAAATTGAAATGCTCTTGCTAAATGTGTGCTCTCTAACTCCTCAGCAGTATGAACTAGATGACATCAGTGGAGGAACAGATCATTTTGGCAGGTGAGGAAAGCAACACTGAGGAATGACTCCTCTCACAGAATTGGAATTCAAAGATAGGAGCACAGAGAGCAGCTGAAGTGAAACAGAGGGGTGTGTAAAAGAAAGCAAGAGTAAAACCAGTGAAAGATTGAAGGAGAGAGACAGACCAAATACATGAATAAAAAAAAATGTTAGGGAGAGATTTTAAAAGAAGCAGACAAGAACACATGAACTGTTGAGGGCTATGCATCTCCTCTGCCTCTCCTCACTTATTGTGCATTCTCTGATTTTATTTATTTATTTATTTATAACAGAGAATCTGACCCCAAAGCTTCCTGTCCTTTCTCACCTGTCCACTGCAATCGCCGTCATGGAGTAGATGCTGGCAAAGACAGCTGTGATAGGGAAGAAGTTGTGGAAGCGGCAGTAAGCCTCTCCAAAGTACCACTCGCTATGCAGTGCATAGACGAAGTTGATGACAGTATTGAAAGCAGCCATAGAGGCATCTGAGAAGGCCAGGTTCACCAAGAAGTAGTTGGTCACTGTCCTCATACGCTTGTGAGCTAGAATGATCCAGATGACGATGAGATTTCCAAAGACAGCCACTGCCACCACCCCACCGTATGCCAGAGACCACAGGGCAATGCGCCAAGAGGGCTGCACAAACTGGTTGGAGAAGTTGGCTGCTGAGGATGCTGCAGGGGGAGAAGCACTCGCAGCTAGAGCTCCCTGTGCCTGTCCCCAGAGATCACCCGGCTTGGCCAGGCTCACATCCCACCAGCCGCTTGCGTTGGTGCTCCCGTTGGCTGCAGGGACAGAAGTCATCTTGGATGTTCCTCTCCTCTCTTCTGGGGATAAAAAGTGTCCCCCCTTCCTTCTTTTAACCCTCCGAAATGCCCTCCAACAGATAAGGAAAACAAGACAAAACAAAAAGCAAACAAAAACACGTTAGCACAGACCAGCGTGTGGTGAAGGAGGGAGCTATCTGAAAAAGCTTTGGCTATGCTGTTCAAACCCTGAGAAATGTTACTCTGGCTGGATCAGGAAAGCTACTGCTTCTGCGTCGATGAAAGTCCCTTTGCTCTTCTGTAGAGCCTGCTCTTGCTTTTGGTTTCGCTGAAGGGGATCGGGAGCCAAGGCATGTTTTATAGGCTTGCAAGTCGCCAGCGTCATGCAGGGAGTGGAGCGATGAGCCCCATCGGCTGGTAAGATAACACCTCTTCCTCTCCCCTCTCCCGCCTCCCCTTTGTTCCACTCATTGTCAGCAGCTGCGCTTTGAGGAGCTGTGCAGAGAGCCACCAGGAAAATGCATTCTCCACTCTTTTCTTTTTGGCAGATGGGTGTTTTTTTATTTTGCTTTTCTTAAGTTTCATTCTTGGGCTTCCTTTTTAAATGGCCCTTTTGCCCTGATTTTGCAGGACTAATTAAATGGCTTAGCTGAATATTTATGTCTGAGACTGCTTTTTTATTAAAGCTGTTTTGAAATGCAATTATTCAGATCTTCTTTTTTGCAACCTTTTTTTTTTTTACTTTTTTTTTTTCCCTTTCAGGGCATGTTGTTCATTGTTAACTACAGATTTGAAATAGCGACCTCATTCAGATAAAGAAATATATTTAGATGATCTCTAATTTCTCTTTTCATTCTGTAATATGCTAATAACATCTAGAAACATCTATAAAATTAGAATGTAATTACCTTTTTCTTACAGCACTAACTTTGATGCCTGAAAAGCTGTTTGCATAACCAGCTGACACTGATTTCCATGTAAGCACCATGCAGCCCTGTATATAGATTTTCTTAAATATGGATAAAGTAGTAAGGGTTAGTTTTCTTTGTGTCTTTTCAAAATTGTGAAATATTTTTACTTTTTTACATTTATTTTACACTAAGTGTTGTTATTATTTTGGGTAAACAGTGTTTCTGTACTGGTAGAAAGGCAAATGAGTAAAAGTCACACCCGTTTTTTTCTCATTCCAGAAATCAGTTTGCCTGTTAATTTGTTAACAGCAGCTGGCATAGAGGTTGCATGCTCTGTCTGAGGGTTGATTGTTTCAGCTCACAATCCTATGTTATTTGATAGGCTGCAGTCTACAGGGAGAAAATGTGTTTTAGCAGTGAACTGTTCCATGCTTCAGCAATTTAGAGCTGCTACTTGTCATCAGCAGAGATTTCCTTTTAACTGTGTCACAGCAGTGGGAGCTATTTCAATAGCTCTTATTAGAAATGGCACATTCTACATTTTTTTAAACAAAAGCATAGTACAAAAATGAAGTATTCCTATGTGTCATTTCTCTGCTGTCCTCACTCTGTGGAAGTGGTGTCTACACTTTTTAATAGTCTTCACTGCAGTTTTAATTTGGATGACTCCAACTGTGGCCATTTCTGTATACTTCTTAGGTCTTATCAGCTGACATGATGCCAAGAAGCAGCCCCCCCATTCCAGGCTTAGAAGCCCTGTAGACATCTGACCTTTCCTACAGCATATCTAGAACCTATCTACAAGTGGCATGTCCTCGTCATGGGAAACTAATCCCATAATTCACTGGAGTGAATCCCACACTTTCCTGTTTTGAGTCCTCCATCTTCCATCAGCATCATCCTTCTTCCTCTGCTTGGAGGTATGTCTAAAGAACAGTAGCTCACAGGCCCTTTTCCAAATAGACCTTGGGCCATGCTCTCAAGAGATCGCATAGTAAGAAGCACAGTGTCAGCAGAGGCTCTTTGTGCTGGGATAGGTTGAGTCACTGTAAGTCTTTTTGCAAGGGAATTGTAGGATAAGAGACTTTTCTCTGCCGTTTGTGCATGCATTGGTGAGGAGAAGAGGGGAGGGCTTGGGAACACAGGGAATAATTAGAAGTTGAGTAATTTGGGTACTCTCTTCTGGTAAAATCACTGACTTGCTGGCCAGAGGATTAGCATCTAGGGCTCCTTGCTGTAGCATATTCTTCAAAAGACAGCCCGTGGATTGTGTTGAGAGAATCCCAAAGCTGAGCAAAAGACTCTGGCTTGTAAGAAAAGATCCAAGTCACAGGCAAAATCCAAGTAAGAAACCAAATTAACTGTAGGGAAGAAAATCCCTGTGAGTTTGAGTTTATTGAAGAATTCAGATGTTGATTCTAGTACATGAGGAATACATGACTGGCTAGCTATGGAGGTGACTTGAAGACCAAGCTCTTCATTCCAGAAAGTGGATTCAGGATTTTTCACATTGCTTTGAGCCAGAAAGCAGAAACTCCAGACTGGTTCCTTATTCCTTTATACCTTCATCCCCAAACTAGGAACTGCAGCCTATGTCTTTTCACCCTGCTGATTTGTTTTCTGCATTTTCACACCAGGAGCCAATGTCCTCATCTCTCATGTGTTTCTGATGCTTCCAGCCAGCAGTTCCAACCTCAGCAGTTTTAGTCCCCCTAAGCTTAAACAGACAGAGGGAATAGGTCCAATCTGAGGCCTTAATTCTTTCCTGTTTTGGTGTTTTTGCAATACAGCCTTTATAAGCGCTTTTCCTATTAATTTTACTCCTTCATGGTCTCTCTGAACTACAACTAATTTCTATCCTACATCAGCAAAATCCATCTTAGTGGTAGATTGCTCTGAAAAAGAGGCAGTATGCAGGAGTTCTGTGCTCTCCAGTACCTTCAGATCAGTGTAAGCCCCCATCTCATTATGCAAGCAGAGCAATAGATAATTTGAGTCCTTGAGACTTAATTTAAATAAAAATTAGGAAGACTTTCTTATTTTGTGCTTCTAAAATGCTAGCTAGACCACCAGGACAATGCATGACTAAAAGTGTCCACTTCCCGGTGTGGAAATGAAAGTACCCTTCCTTTCTCTGTTTTTAGAGGTACCCAATATTTGCAGAACTATGCCATTTGTATAGGAAACTTTTTACACCCTGCACACTCCCCCTTCTCCCATGATGTGGGGAAGAAAAGCACTGGGTTATAATTTGCATAGCTTCATAATGTTTCCATACCAGGAAAACCTGGAGCTTTGCTAGTCCCTTGCTCAGTAAGCTGGATTTATCTGCTTTGTTGCATCAGATACCTGCATCCAGTAGAAGAGGTGGCTGAATGTTTGGGAACAGGTTAGTGTTGGGAAGCAGAACACTGAGCAGCACAGTGTGAATGATGGGCAACTGGCTCAGTCACCTAGGGGGAACATTTAGGATTACTTTTGGAAAGGACTTTACAAATTTGCTAGAATAATTTCTTCTGTGTTCTGACTTTCATTCTCAATGATGCAACTCCAGAAGAGCATTCTGGTACAATGAGCTGGAGCAGCAAAACTGTCTTGCCTTCAAATGTCTGCAGCGCGTAAGTAGGTTGTCCTGTTCCTTAGCAGTTATCTCTCTAGGATTCAGTTTAATTAATTTAGGAAAGAGGTGATTGGCTCTTGCCTAGAGGGGTCAGCTGTGCTTCCCTATCACAATTTATATTGATTATATGTGTCACGATAGAAATTCAGTTTGGAGAATCTTATCAGAGCTGAATTTCTCAAAGAAGTTCAACATCATCTTTGGTAAATGCATTTTATTAGTAACATCTGTGTAGCAAAACCTGTCTGACTGTGGTGTAGCTTATGCAGAAGAGCAGTACAAAATAACAGGATCTTTGTTACTCGGTCTCTTTTACACACATAAATGAAAAAAAAGCAGTTGTAGAGGGTAAACATTATTTGAACATACTCCCCTAAAACTGTCAGAAGTACCTGATTCTTTATGTTAATTTTTGCCCATTGCAGCTTATACATATTCACAGTGGCAATTTTTCCTTTATTTCCAGATAAGACTGTACTTGGTTTTAGAGTCACTGCTTTTTGAGCAGTGTACTTGCTGCTCTCTTTAACCCTTCTACTGATGAGCTGCTTTGTGCTTGTGTGGTAAGCTGTGGTTACAGTTACATTACCAGCTTCACAGAGATGCTTAGGAATATTAACGGAACATTACAAGTTTAATCAGGAAAGGAATTGTCTATAGTTCTTTTTTGTTGCACAGAAGGAAGCTGTTTTTTACATTTCCAGTGAAACCTTTCCTACTGTGCCCAGAGCAGAACCTAAGCTCTTGACTTCTCATCTTCCTGCTGTTTTCAAGGTAGACTTATAAATTATTCTGATGCTTTGCTATTTATGAGAGTATGATTCATCTTCTACCTATCCGCCTGGTGTTTCCCCTGCCGGGTTTCCATCCGAAGTCATTCTGCCACTAAACTCATCTATATGCTATTGTGTTGAGAACTAGTGTATGAATGGTAGAGCTCAAGTAGGGATTGATAGCAAAAGGGCAGCCAATGCAGCGTACCTGTTTAGCATAAATGTTAACCCACATCATTAATTCCATTAGTTCTGTTTTAGATCTGGCCTCTGTGGTTCCTGGCTTTTGTGTATACCTCTGAGGGTGTTACTAAGTTTGCTTTTGGTTTTAGATTCAATGGCAATGAAAACGTAGCCTTGCAGCCTCATTTCCTGATTCCTTCCTCAAGCACCTCGCTGGTATCACAAGAAATGTTCTTTATCAAAGCTTTGGTGTTCCATGCATTCTCATTCAGCACAGTGTTACTTAGCTGCTTTGATATCTACTGTTCGCTGGTTAGTTATGCAAAGCTTTAGTTAGGGCAGGAGGATTCTTGCTGTTTAAGGATGCTCAGCACTGTGCTATTTGTTCTGGCTGCTTATTCTCATTGTGCTGTTGTCATGAGAATGTCAGCCTCCCTGGATTTTGAACAAATGTTTTGATTGCATTTATTTATGTAGCTTAAAACACAGCTGGAAACTCAGCTTGACCCTGATTCATGGTTATTGCTTATGAATGCGAAAGTCATCTTCC